TGGTGTCTTAGAAAAAGTCGACGAGCCTCCCCCTTTCTATCTGAAAAAATTAGTGTATGTAACTTTTAGAAAATCTTAAAACGACTGTGAGGTCGTTCGCATCAGGATCCATGGCATTCTAGATCGAAAAATAAAAATGGAAATAAAAATGACTTTATTTGTCAAATATTGACAAGTGAGTTCAGAATGCCGTTTTCGATCAAAATAAGTAAAAATATATAGCGCGTCCCATTTAAAAAATCAAAAGTTGGAGACGTTTCCGGTCAAACCGGAAGTACATCAAAGCAAATGAATATGTCAAAAAATGTTAATTCATCTATAATATGCAACCCCAATTTTCGTTTTTCTATCTTCAATAATACAAATGTTACAGGGGTAAGCCACCTTGGAGAATCAACCGGTATGTCAAGGTTTAATGGTTTTCGTCACGTTTCCAGTTGCAATTACCAACTATTTATTTTTCTGCGATTGCTGGTAAGCTTTTTGTGATATGCAGTGTTTTTCAAAAAGGTCCGCTTCCCCAGTTATTTTTTGGACGGGTCTAGTTAATCAGTTTGAAAAATACATCAAAACGCGTTAATTTTTTAAGGCGACATGTCGTATATTTTATTGTACACTCAGATATATCCTTCCACAGACATAACGCATATAATTACATATTATAGTGTTTTGGTGATTAGTTGTCGAGTTGTGAGCAATTAATTCAATGTACAAGGTGGCCTACTAAGAATGCGAGGTACTGTATCTGGAAACCAATCCATCGTAGAGGCTTGCGGCAAAAAAGTTCTTACTAAAAAGGCCAAGAGAAAAACCTGGAAAATATTTTCAAGTTTCGGAAATGAACGCTAGGGGGCGTAACTGCAATCTCGAATGTAAAAAAGTGATGTTTCTGTAAATTCCGCTATATTAACCTAACAAAAAATAAGTATCTCTAAAAATAAAGTGATGGGGAGTATTTAAAGGTTTCCGTAAAAAACTCTATGCATCTTCGAAACGTCTGAGTCGATTTTAACAAGCCTGGGCTAATTGAAAAGAGCTATTCTTTTCTGGAATCTTTTTTATTCATCAGAATAAAATCTCCCTTTTCAAAATAGTACAAAATATCGCTAAAAGGTAAGTAAGTAAGGCTAATAACAAAAGATATTTTTTTTGTTTAAATGCATATTCATTATAGCTATAATACGAAAAAGACTATTTAAAGAAGCAGGCCATGGAATAACAACAAAGCAAATAGCTAATCAAAACATGAATAATCTTCAAATTGTCAACAGTTGTCAATAATTTCGCGTTACTTTGAGCAATTCTTGTGCTTACCAAATGCGTTTTACAAACGATGAAGCTGTTGATATGCTTGCAGTTTATTTTGGATCTCTTCAGAATGCCGCATCAGAACAAAAATTACGCGACTCGATATCCAAATCGGCGTCTTTGCGATGTGAGAGTTTTTCCCCGATTAGTGGCGAGCTTACTAGCCAATTGGTAGTTTTCGGCCAGCAAAGAATTGGAAGAACATAAGAAAATACTAACCACGTACTGGGATATATTGAAGGAAATCCTCATGTTAGCACAAGGACATTATCGAGTTGGGCATATCACGAAAAGTTAAAATGTAAGTTTGAATGGCCATCAAAATATAGGTAAGTATTTATTTAAATTTAACCTTTTTTAATTACTTGTAGAATGCACCCGTATAATGTCCTTTTGCATCAGGCCTTGAAACAAGAACACTGATCCGAGGTTGGACTATTGCCATTGGATGTTAAGCGTGATACGCGAAAATAGAGAATTTTTATTTCAAATTCTTTATGCCGATGAGGCCACCTTTAATAGTGACGGAAGAGTCAATCTGCACAATACTCGTATGCATTATTGGTCTGCAGAAAATCCGCATTGGTTGCATTAAGTTCAGTACCAAAGGGCGTTAGAGTTTAAATGTGTGGTGTGGGCCAAAAATCAGGGAAAAAACTCTCACTCGCAAAGAACCCGATTTGGATATCGAGTCGCGTAAGCTCTTTTTGCTACTGCGGCATTTGGTAACCAAAAAAATTGCTCAAGTAATGCGAAACTATTGACAACTATTGACAATTTGAGGATTATTATGTTTTGATTAGGTATTTGTTTTGTTGTATTTAATGTCTGCTTTATTGTCTCTTTCGTATATACCAATAGTGAATATGCATTTATATAAAAAAATCCTTTTGTTATTAGCATTACTACCTTTTAGCGATATTTGAAATATTTCCAAAAAGGGTGATTTTATTCTGGTGAAAAAAAAAATAATTCCAGAAAATTAGTTTAAAAATTTAAGGGATTTCCGTATAAGATTTGTTTGGCCTAATTTTTAGGTTAGGAACAAGATATCGAGATGCGGTTTTCGCTAGCTTGTTTAGACTTTATTAGCTACGCATACAAAAAATCACACCTATGCATTTAATTTGTCTAAGAAAATTAACGATTTATGTCGGAATTTCCGGAAAAGCCCTCTAGCAGCCACATGTGAAACCAACAAAACATCAAATATTATATCATTTGTAGCCCAAGAATAGCTCTTTTCAACAAGCCCAAGTTTGTTAAAATCGGCTAAGCCGTTTTTAAAATACAGTGTGTATTTTACGGAAACCTTTGAATACCCCCCACCACTTTTTTTGTAGATACAACAAAAATTATCAAAAAAAGTTCACATTATTCCAGACTTCAAAGATTAAGTATTTTTTTTTGTTAAGATTAATATAGTTCAATTCACACAATTCACTTTTTTAGATTCAAGATTGCAGTTACGCCCCCTAGCGGCCATTTCAGAAACTTGAAAATATTTTCCAGGTTTTTCTCTTGGCCGTTTTAGTAAGAACTTTTTTGCCGCAAGCCTCTACGATAGATAGGTTTCCAGATACAGTACCTCGCATTCTTAGTAGGCCACCCTGTGCAAAAACGTATTGCTAATGAGCTTTAAAATGACCCATTTCACTTAAAAGATATGCGAAGATAGCACCTAGCCGCCATTATGAAATGTACAATCGTCGACGTTGAAGTATAGTATTCATGCATCAATTTCATTCCCTCAAATTTAAGCTTACTAACTTGACCGTTCAAAAAGTAAGCTGGGGATACATGCTAGTACATTGCTATTATTTTTTTTTTGAACTTGAACATTTTGAAATGTTTCTGATCCAATTACTTAAAGTTAATTTCCATATTAGCTGCGAATATATTGATTCCATGAGATTAAAACTCTGATTCATATTAAATCGAGGAATACTTATCGGGGGATCCTCTAAATTTCTGTACAATGTTCTTTCATAAAATACGTTTAGAAAAGTGTTCTGAATAGAAAATTATCAATATATGTATACTAGTCGAAAAAATAAGTTAAACAGAAATCAAGGGAATGAAGTCATGGACATTTAGCTTCATGTGGATATAAAATTTGAAACTCGTGGCATCGACATCCTTCAAATATAGAAAAAAAAATGAAATTGGTTAAACAACTTTCTAAGATATTTTAACAAGATAAACAACTTAATAATAGCATCATACTAGCACATTGGACAAAAAACCACAGAAAAATAACGTTACGAACGACGTTAGTGTAATAATAAATTAGTTTCAGACTGATCTAACGGTATCCTGATTTTCAGAGTATCTATGACGTTTCCTTGCTTCTCAGATTTTTCCAGAAAGTAGTTCATATACATGTATTTTAACAGCATACGACAGTTAAAAGAATTTCGAGGAAAATTTATTGATTCAAATGTGTTTGACAGAATGTTTTTTTGTCGACATCTTTCATCTATTATGAAATCCGAAAATATTTGCTTGGATCGTCAGACGAAAAAAGTAAACCCTGATGCAAGTTCCATCCAAAAATAGAAAAAGCTTCTCTTAAAAGGTGCTTTGAAACCACATTTATGTTCTGAATACACTCAAGAAGATGGTATCAATCGCGTCTATCAGAAACACAGTTGTCCTTGAATAACAATATCCCGACCTATTTCTGCTCTTGCCTGAAATGTTTCTTGTAGCTGAACAGTATTTAACTGTACATATATATTATTATACTCCATCGACCACATGCAGCTCTGAATCGAAAAAAAAAAGATCTTCACTCAAACGTTATTAATATATATGTGATTTCATTTGGGCCAGATATCATGGGCTTCTATCAACCTGAAAACCACAGGATACGATTGAGGTGTTAAATGATATTCTGTTTGATGTACATAGCCGTAATAAGGTACTCATTGTTATATATGGAAACTGAAAAGAAATCCTTCACATTATCCTGGGTGTAACGTTTGGAACTTGCATTTGGTATTCTTGAGTGCATAATTATGTCCCCAGGCCTCCCCATAGCGTGACAAAAGTGAGAAGAGGACTAAGTAAGAGTTACTGATTTTAAAAGTATTTGGTATGCATATAATTTGACGGTACAATTATCGCTCTGCTGTACCAATTAGATAACACTTCATCTGCAAAGCTTTCAAGTTGACAGTCTTAAGCAACGCTAACAATATTTCCTTTTGCTTGCCAGACGATAAAATTAAAAACATTTTCCGTTTACTAATCATTTACACAACTATGTTCCAAGTTTTTAAGTCTTATGCAGTAAAATTGATTTTTCGGCATTAAACGAGTATATGTTTTCATCTATAGTTGGCTCCACTGTGAACCAAATGCTCATTTATATTTAACCTATATGTACAAAAATATACGAATGAATGTAGAGCACATCTAAAAAAAATAATTATCTCACATACCTGTTAGAAGACGAAAAGTAATGAGAGGAAACAGTGAATAGAAATGAATTGACATATACAAAGTTTAAATTCATCATTCACATGAAATACTAATTTACATGAGGAATAGATCAAAAAAATGGTATATATGATGAAATAAAGAACTACTCTCAATGACATCCAAGCGCAAAGCACATTTATTTTGAATATTCTAAAGTTCTTAAAGAACGTGAACGACTATAAAAATGAGTCAGTCATTGTTCTTACCTTCGACTTCAAAGCGGCAAGTTTCTGTTCTTCTTTTCGACAGTTTCTTTGGTATGAAGTTATCACTCTCCTTAAGCGTGTGTTCAGGTCAGTCACTGAAGGCCATATTTTATCTTCACCCTCTTCCAATACTCGCTCCTGAATAATACAATGGACGTATCACAGTACATGAAACTATTTTTTGATACAACTAGGTTTGACAAAAAATCAAGCTGGATTTAGAAAAAAAATATTCTACAGAAACAGTAATCCAAATGGTGGTGGAAGACTGTAGAAGAAGTATAGATGAGAAAGTGACATATAAATCCGAACACCCAGTTTAAATGCTTTTATTTTAATAAAATTTTGTATAAGTACATAATGAAGCATAATAAGTAAATGATAAAAATTTCAAAATGATTGCACTGCTTTAAAGCCCTTTGACCTTTAATAATGTGTGGATGCACCCTGATGTGCTACGCATTCTCCAACGCGCCTAGGCATGCTTCTGATCAGGTGGTCAATGTCCTCCTGTGGTATCTCATTCCAGGCAACCACCAACTCCTCTCGAAGTGCTTCTAGACACCGAGCAGGACGTTGCAAATTGAGCAATCTCCTACCCATCATATCCCACACGTGCTCAATTGGGGATAAGTCGGGAGATCTTGGTGGCCATGGTAACAATGTGACATCATTATGTTGAAAGAAGTCTATTGTGACTCTTGCAACATGTGGTCGGGCATTATCTTGTTGGAAAGCTGGATCTGCCAGGGTGTCAAGATAGGGTAAAAGATGGGGTTCTAGAACTTCGTGAATATAACGCTGCGCGTTCATGTTACCTCTGATGAAGATTAAAGGTGACCTGGAACCATAAGCTATAGCACCCCAAACCATAACTCCAACAGTGTGATGAACATGTCTTTCAAGAAAAAACTGTGGATTCCTCCTTTCACCACGTCGCCTTCTAACCCTGGCACGACCATCGTGCATGCCTAAACAAAATCGAGACTTGTCACTAAAGACAATACTGTCCATTCCTGATCCCAGAGTGACCGTTGTCTGCACCACTCAAGGCGATTACGTCGGTGTTCTCGAGTTAAAGGGAGGACTCAGTGTGGCCGGTATGAAAACAAGCCAAAACATCTCATTCGTCGGTAAACACTTCGCATGCCAATAGGTCTTCCGTGTTCTGCAAACCATTCATTTGCAATGGACCTGGTAGTGGAGGAACGGTCCCTTAAGGCCAATAATCTTAGGCGGCGATCTTCACGGTCTGTTGTTCTACGGCGGCGTCCAGTGCCCCTTGCTCTTTGCGTACGGCCTTCTCGAAGCCATGCCTGACAACACCTAACCACAGTGTCTACACTTCTTTGCACTCTAACTGCAATTGCCCGAAAAGAAAGTCCAGCTTCCCGAAGTCCCACTATACGGCCCCTATCAAACTCACTAAGTTGACGAAATCGTACGGGTCTACGTACTCTAGGCATCGTAACCGATCGTAAAGGATGTCAAGAACCAAAATCCGCCAACGTTGATTCTTTACTACGGCTGAAATATTCATTTTTAGAGCGTTAGTGAATTAAAAAAAAGCAGTATAAAAACCGGAATGTCCAACTGATAAGGCTAAACATTTTTTCACTTGTTATTTACAGTAAGATAAATACATTCACCAACTTTTATTAAAATAACACCATTTAAACTGGGTGTTCGGATTTATATGTCACTTAGTATATTGTAACAGTATTTTTAGACTTGAAAAAGGCATTTGAGACTATAGATAGGGAAAAATTGTTAATGAAATTGCATCCCTATGGTCTTAAAGGATCAATATTAAACATTTTACAAAATTATTTAGTGAATCGAAGTCAAAAAGCTAAAGTTGGAAATATTATGTCAAGCGTTCAAAATATATCAGTAGGGGTGCTACAGGGGAGTAAATTAGGGCCGTTACTATTTACTATTTATTTATATATATATATATATATATATATATATATTTTTCTCTTTGTATATATATATATATATATATATATTTTTTTCTCTTTGTATATATATATATATACTATATATATATATATATATATATATAGTATTCATCGTTAATTGCCTTAACTGTTAGGAGAAGATATCCTTTAATTTATTTGGGTAGAAGGAAAAGTATTGCAAAAGTACACTCGTTTAACTTAAACTCTCAAGCTTTCAAAGATCTCTGTCTTCATCGTCTGGAGCTGGAAACAATTATTGACAATAGCAACAAATAACAATTAGGAGAAAAATATTTACTTACTAACTCGGCGAGATTGTTGCTGAAATTGTTTTTAAACAACAGTGATTAAACGTTGATTGATTTTGGTTTTGGAAGAAATTTGGAGATTTTAAATCTATCAACTATTCCAAATTCCTTCAAGATCTTTTTTTCACTGATAACCTCCACATTATCCAACACGTGCCGGCCGACTGACATTCTAAAGAGGTGTATGAAGTGTGACATTGAAAATTATTTATGTCGAGATGAAATCACGAAGGAATTTTCAATAGTTGATAGTTTTAAAATCTCCAAATTTCTTCCAAAATCAATCAACGTTTAATTAAAAAACCTTTCAAAATGATTTGCCATTCAATAATAAAATAATTCCGTCCTAATCGAACCTCATCCGTCCGGTTTTTTATTCGTCTACTATGTGTTCCCTTCACTGTTGTTTAAAAACAATTTTAGCAATAATCTCGCCGACTTAGTAAGTAAATATTTTTCTCCTAATTGTTATTTGTTGCTATTGTCAATAATTGTTTTCAGCTCCTTTTATCGACAAATCCACCCCCTATAATGTCATACCTCACCCCCCTTGAAATGGATCCATACCGCTGCGAACGAAATTAGGGCTGACAAGGATATGGTCTTCCGCTCAACACGACACGTTGTTTTAAGAACAACAATGTGCATAACCAATAATGGAGTACATTTTGAACAGCTTCTGTAAGATTAAACATGTCTAAACTCTCTGTAAGAAATATTGATTTGTAATTTTTTATGTATAAAAGGTTTGAAAACAATTTGCATTTTATTATACCCATTTCGACCCATGTTAGATAGCATTTATTGCTTAACATAGTATACCTAGGGTGACCATAATTTTTCATCAAAAAAAAAGTACATTTATAAATTTAAAGGAAATTCAGTACAATACTCTAGAAAATTTATCTGGTTAAAATTTTAAGAATCTTTAATCGAACAATAAGAGAATGTTTTTTTTTAAATCAAACATAGGTACATAAATTATGTATATATATATTTAAAGCTAATTTTAAAAGCTAATTTTCTTTCGACGTTCCTGCCAGAAAATTTTGATCATCATTCTGGTACCAGTCGTACTTTTTGGAACCATGAATTTCCTTCAGAAGTTGTGGTTTACTCTTTAAGAACTGAAACATTTCATTGCACGAAACTTTGAAGTTTGTGTAGACTTGCATGATGGCTTCCAGAGTAGATATTTTCAGCTGCGATTTGTCGGGACTCCAATAGTTATTGATATTTGAGAACAACCTCTCAAGCGACGCACTGGTCCCAGGCAGACAAAAAACGAACTCGCATAGAATTTTGAGATTTTTCAAAGCACTTTCTTTTTGGAAGACTTCGAGCCATCGATCTTCGGTAGAAATATTTCTCGAATTCCAGTCTACGATTTTATCTTCTGTAACGTTGGTTCGTATTAAACTAACTTCATCGAACAGTTCGTCCTGATTCAATATCGGACCTATGTAGTCCTTGAAAGCCTCACACGACGACAAAATTTCAGCCCAAGAAACTTGTTTTTTCGAGTTAACCCATCCAAATAGCTTTAGTTCACTTAAATTTTCACTCCAGTTTTTCAAATATGTTACACAATTCGAATAGAACTGCTTGACATGCATGATGAAGATATCCCAATAGTTTACACTACGGTCAATGTTTCCCATATTCTCAAGTTTCGAAAGTGACTCTCTTACTTTAAGCGGTAAATATAACTCATTTAAACGATTTTGAAGCTTATTTATGAGTTCGAAATACTCCAAAGCGGCTTCTGTTGCGCATATTTTGTCACCTTCTACATCCAAAATCACTTTGTGGAAGAGAGACGCAATGTTATGCACAAACCACATCCATGCTTCACTGATTGGGTTTTGAAAAAACTGTTTTAGAACTGTTGGACAATTATCAATCGATAAAAAATATGCTTTCAAGGGTTCGAACATTTGTACAATTCGTTCAATGGCTGGCATTAGGCTTAAGAATCTAGTTTTTGAAAACGACAACATTTTTTTGTACTCGACATCAACAAAATCACAAAACTGTTTTAGTTTCTCCACTCTGACTGTAAAAATATAGAAATGCTTAAAAATCTTGACCGCAATAACCTCGACGTCTATTGGTAAGACGTCCGTCGCATTTTGTAAACAGTTGTTAAAGATGTGTGCTACACAACCAATTCCAATAAAGGGTTTGCCACGAGAAGCATTTAACTTGCTGAATAGATTATTCACTCCTTTTCTCCTCATTCCACCAAAATTTGTATTTGTGTTATCAGCAGACATTCCGATGCATTTTTGAACTAGATTATGGTGATTCAAAGCACTGACCACGTAATCTTTCAACTGCTCTGATGTTTCTCCAGGTAAGTCACGCAGCTGAAGTAATTTTACTTGGATACCCTTTTCACCATCAAAATACCTTACCATTAAGGGCACAACTTTAATTTCTCGATGATTTGACGAATCGATCGTGATGCTAACAAAATTTGCTTTTCGAAGGTCAATTTCTAATTGGGACTGAGCTTCTTGAGCTAAAACATTTTTTACAATCGCCTCAGTCTTGGTTCGAGCTGCCGCAAATTTTGGTTCAAACATGTTTACAATTAGTTTTGACGTGCAGTCTAAGGATCTGAAGCTTTGCAAATGCTTAATTGTATGGTAAGCAAAAGTACCTTCCTTGGCAGCAATCAACATATCTTCAGAACTTGAACTGTCACTTTTAAGAAAAGTTTCCAATTTTCTGCTCTTCAAGTTTGCATTTGCAGCCAAAATCTGTTTCTTCTTGGACAAATGTTGTTTGATATTACTGCGACCACTGTTAGAAATATCAACATCACTTCTGCAAACTTGGCAAAACAATATGCGGTGAAACATTTGATTTTTGTTTAAAAAATGGATACTCTGCTTGCAATTCAGTATTAAAATGGCATTTTCTTCGAGGCGGTGACATGATAAAATTGTTTACTTTTCCACACAGCACAAAAAAGTATAAGATACAAGAAAAACTGCCGGAATTTAACGTAAAGGTAAATAGACTAATCGACAGCAAGCCCAGAAGTAACTAATAAACATACGACGAGATACTAGCTGCGAAATGAAATAGACAGAGATGGGAGATGGACGTATCGGCTAAACTAGACGACGACCTGCGATCGGTTGCTGCTAGGGATGGGCGATTCTTCCACAAAAGATCGATTCTTGAATCAATTCAAATCATAATAATCATAGTTATATTTCGTTTTCACAAATAGTAGGACTAAATTTTGTGTAATTAAGCAAAAGAGTACATGTAGGTGTACTTCATAAATCGTAAAGTACAATAGGACAGCGTTTGAAAAGAAAGTACTGTCCTACTAAAAAAAGTACATATGGTCACCCTAAGTATACCTAGGATAACAAAAAGCTGTAGAATTAGCACAAAAAAGTACAACTTCATAGACTAGTTTTTGAATGGTGAGCGGAAATGCACAAAATAATCAATTTTTTTCCACATTTTTTTCTGTTTTGTCTGTTTTTCAGTACGTTTGACGGTTAGTATCAAAACAAGTTTTTCAAGAATCGCTAGGCCAACATTTTATCGTTCAAATGACACCAAATTTATCATTCTGTGACAATTACGTACTCACTTATTACAATTTTCATACATGCACTACCGTAATCGTAACGTGAAAATAAAAATGACTGCCATTTCAAGGAGGATGAGGTAGGACATTGTAGGAGGGTGGATTTGTCGATAAAAATATCTGAAAAATACTTCTCTAATATCGGTATATCGTGACCAAACACATTGTATATACACACAGGGTGGCTGATCCATGTGTGGACTCATAAACAAATACATTTTGGAGAAATCTATTTATGGCATGTTATACATGACATTTGAGGGCAGGCACATTTCTAAAATATTGGCAATTATACAGGGTGTCTCAATTTTGGCACACATATCAAAGTTGTGATTTTTTAAATGGAATGCCTCAAATTTTATTGCATATTTGGATAAACCAATTCAACAGAAGAAGATTGATATAACATACTATGGGGTTTTGGTAATTAGCTACTGAGATGTAAGGTGTTTTGGCCAGAAAAACCGTCCACTTCGGCAACCCTTCAACCCGCCATTTTGAAATTTGGAGTGCTGAATTTTATATATTCGAATTTTCATTTTTGCTCATACAGGGTGGCCAAAAACGCGAATTGTACTTTTTCTCAAAAATTTCAAATGCACCATATTTGTGAAAGTTTGGGTTCAATTTTTTATAAGCTTTTTTGGTGTAAGATAAAATCAGTAGATTTTGAGTTATTAAGTTTTTAATAGAAAAACACACCAAAATTAAGGAAAAAATCACATCAATCATGGAAACAAAATAGAAACAGTGGGCTAGTTCCATATTGCCACTAAAAGTACAGATTTGACGTAAAAATTAATAACAATTAGAACGGTATAAATCAGCTTCAAGCGTAAAACTATAACAACAACATAAACAAACAACTATCACTACTCAAGACCTAAGCTACAAAAACTGCTCTAAAATATCTCCACCATGTTGAATACACCGCCGTAGACTTTGGATAAATGAACGTTGCACATCCGTCAGCTTGTGTTCCCTTATGTTCAGAAAAGCATCCTTAATCCTTTCCTTCATATTTTCCGGGGTAGATGGTGGATATCTATGAACCTCTTGCTTAACGTAGCCCCATAGAAAGAAGTCTATCGGTGTCATATCTGGTGATCTAGGAGGCCAAGATATGGGCTCATCACGACCGATCCAACGATTGTTACTCCAGGTGTCCAAATAGTTACGCACACGATTATGATAATGCGCAGGTGCGCCGTCATGTTGGAAGTACATATGCATTCGAGTTTGCAGGTTGACATCCTCCAAAAGCAAAGACAAATGTTCGATCAAAAAATTCAAGTATTCTGTACCTGTTAATCTGTTGTCGAAAAAGAAAGGTCCGATAACTTGTCTGCCAATAACTCCTCCCCAAACATTCAAGCTTCATTTATTTTGGAAATCTATTTGCCCAACCCACTGAGGGTTTTCCGTCGCATAATAGTGCATGTTATGCCTGTTGACAACACCTATGCTGTTAGAAGTTGCCTCATCGCTAAAAAGAACCTTATCCAGGAAAGTAGTGTCTTCACTCACTTTATTTAGCATTATTCTACTAAAACCCACTCGAGTTGCGAAATCCTGAGGACGAAGGCCTTGATGCAAGCATAGGTGATATGGATGGTACCTATGCTTGTGAATAATCCTTTGGACAGAAGTTCTGCATATATCAGTTTCTGCTCCAATTTGCCGTGCACTTAAATGGGGATTTTCCTGCAACTTTAATAGAACCTCAAACTGATTCGCCTCATTGGTGACACTTGGATTACTTATACATTTTTTACTATATTCCATTGCTCCACTTGATTCAAAACGTTCTCGTAGTGTGGAAAATATTTCCAGCCTTGGATGTCGTATATTAGGGTACCGTTGCTTAGAAATGCGAGATGCTAGGAAACGAACACCATATTCACAATTTCTTCTTTAGAAAAGTTCATTTTCAAACACGTTTTTATTATAATGCTCACAAAGCTAATTTTGACAGTTTGTAACTAAACAACGACTTATTTGTTTCCAAGGATGCGATATTTAGGGAATTAAGCCGTTCCATAAAAGACGTGCTAATAACCGAAAAATAGCCGTAAAATTCCAAACTTGCACAAATACACAAGGTAATGCATTTGAAATTTTTGATATACAATTTGCGTTTTTGACCACCCTGTATGAACAAAAATAAATATTCGAAAAAGTAACAAATAAGATAAAAGCTGAGGTGTGTAAGTTTTTTTTGATACAAAATTCAGCACCCAAATTTCAAAATGGAGGACTGAGGGGTTGCCGAAGTGGGGGATTTTTCTAGACAAAACACCTTATATCTCAGTAGCTAATTACCAAAACCCCACATAGTACTTGTATGTTATATCACTTTTCTTCTTTTGAATTGGTTTATCCAAATATGCAATAAAATTTGAGGCATTCCATTTGAAAAATCACAACTTTGATATGTAGGTTGATATTGGGACACCCTGTATAATGGCAAATATTTTAGAAATGTGCCCTCAAATGTCATGTATAACATCCCATAAATATATATATATATATATATATATATATATATATATATATATATATATATAACTTGAGACGTGGTCATTGTCGTCTAGACCAGTCAGGTGAAAAATTAAAGCTTTTGTGCAATCATCAAGTGGCTTCACGACGTAATGCTCTAATGTTTTCTAAATAATTTTTAATCTGTCTTTAACTTGTCTTGTCATATTTTATATAATTTTAACCATTGTACCATGTATCCAGCTCTCACCATGTTACTGGACGTTTCCCTCATCCTATACGAAAACAACAATTAGCAACATCCTCACATACTACTGTAAGTTGATTCAATTTAAATTCATTTTACACTTTTGTTGCTACTGTTATCATTGTAATTGCAGCTCCTGATGATGATGGCAAAGTCCATTGAAAGCTAGAGAGAATTAAAAAAAGTATAAAGAGTCCTCTTTGCTTAAATTTTGTCGAAGTACCCAACAAAAGGCGGAAGCTTTAATTTTTCACCTATATATATATACAGTGCTTTTCGGATCGGAACGGATCAATTCAAAAAATTAAAACTTGAGGTAATGAAATTGATGCGTGGATACCATATTTTAGAGTAAAATTGACAGATGAAAATGTCTAGATGGCCGCTGGGCGCCGTCTTTGAACTTATTATTATATGAAAACGGGGGTCTTGTGGCACATCATTTTGAAGCTAATGACGAGTACTTTATAACCCTAGAATATAAAGTCAATACCTTTACCTACTACAAAATGATGGTACATTTAATAATCACCTGAATACATTGACATTTAACTTGATAATTCGAACACATACGTGAGTTCAGTTTAGAAGATGCTGGCAATGGTTGCCTTGAACTTCTTGACACAATAACAGCCGGTCCTTAATTTCACGTCCAACATTTTCAAACATAGTAACATCGATATTTCTACAAATATTTGTTATTCTCAGCCGTATATCCAATATTGAAGCAGGTTCAGTTTCGTACACCTTTTGCTTCAAATAGCCCCATAAAACAAGAGGGCCGATTTCACCAACATTAATATTATGGACCAATGGGAAAATACCTTATCGAAATGCAATTTGACAGAAGCTGTCAAAGGTCTCAGAATCAGTGATTTCTATTAAAATATTGAATAAACTCGTGAAAATTCGACTGTATTATAAACAGGACCACTTCTTGATTCCAACATGATGGTTTTGTACCGAGAAAACAGATCAACTTTCATGTATTTTGATTGGTGTTATAAATTTACATTTAACAATCAGTTATCCCCAAAAGCCAATGGGAATGCGGCAAATAATAGGTCGATTTTCTAGCTGTTAAATTTGGCAGCAGATTTGGACGTTTGTTAATGCATGGCAATCTCGAATTTAAGTTCAATATACTGTTATCATTACATACCTGTTGAATAGTGCGGATTTGTCTGTATTTTGCAAGAAAATAGAATATAAAATACATTCCATCCAATTCCTCATCTTCCTTTACATCATAATAGTAATCATTTATTAATTTACGGGTTAATGAATTTCTCCAAAGCAATAAAAACATTGTCCTCTCCATCCTAAAACACAGATAATATGTGTAAGACGTGTCAATCCCTACATCTCTGTGATGCATAATGCAATTACTATGGACATAGACAAAAAATTATGAAAAATATCTCGCAAATAATGTCTTTTAAGTCCAAAAACCATAAAAACTAGTAATGTTTATTGTTTGGAAGCCTTTTTCACTAGTGGGGTTATCTATCTGCACTCGTAGGGTTGCCAAGTCTAACGACGATCACGTCCCGTGATGAAGGGTGCGAAATGAATCTTTTACATTTGCTGGTTTTGAATTTAAAGTAGGAATACAAACATAGTGCTTATGATAGTTGAAGCTAGACTGATAACACTTCTTGAAGAATATTTGAAAAATGTGAACGCCGTGATGGTCTGTTGTCAAATTGCAAATTGAAGTATCTGAAAATTCTTACATACAGTGGACCTTCGTCATAGTTTACTATCCTGATTATGATCATCAAATTGATGAACAAATACAAGAAAGCTCTTATATACCTACATACAGAGGATTTTTCATGTAAATTTACTAGGTATCATAATTATAAGCATCTTTGGTGGATTTTTCGATACCAAAAATATTTTCCTTCTATTTATGAAAATATTTTTGGTATCATCTAACCGTTGCAATCAGTGCACAAAAACTGTGAGCTATTTTGCGGCGTCATTTGCATTTCCACGTGTTGTGCAACGATTTTCTGAAAAATTCCACGAATACTCTTATAAAGCAGTATATTTCAACAGTTGGCGGAGCTTACTCCACTGGGACCAGGGGGGGTGAAACGGGATATTAATGCACAATCTGGCAACCATGTCGCACCCTCACAAAATGGCCACACAAGTCACCGTGTTGTCATTGAATAGCATTGAATTAAACTTTCTTCTGAGTATATGTTTTGTGACTGGGACCAAGGGTTAGATCCCACATATGCGTCACTCGATGAGTCTTGAAATGCAATAATCAGCGGTATTCAAATAATGTCTAATATAAATATAACCTAGAATGAGTACTCGTGAAAAAAGAAAAATATGGCAAATTTGTAGTTGTTTTGCTGGTCTTAGGTTTGCTGGTAGCTTTAAGGCATATATTTGGGAATTTCTTAATCGCTGTGAATATAGTGTGGATGTTTGTTCAGTTCCTGAACAACGAAAAATATTCAACTTTATGGATGTATGGATATCAAGAAACCTGAATGGTTTTGTGGGAATATCAATCTAAGGTGTCATAATGGTTCTGATGAACGGCAAGTAAATGAATGAATGTTTGGAAACGAGCAATATCTTTTGGTAGAGCTTGTCATCAAGTAGGTACTTAATGGCTATCTGCAAGAGGTTTATAGGACAAAATACCCAGTTGAATCAGTAAAATCGCATATCAATTGAAGAAAATAATATAAACATGAATAAAAACTCAACAATAGTAATTAAAACATGAATTTAATTCAAAAATCAAACAAACTGAATGATATGTAATTTCTTAATATTCAATAATCTGGTGATGTTTCAATGACAAGCTGTCATCCTTTGACAGTATTTTGATTTCAACATTTCATAGCTATTGGTTGCTAAAATTTGTTGATTGGAACTTGAAGCTCATTCGTTGTATTTGACGGACAGTTACCCTATAGGTGGAGAATAACGGACTGTTGATTTGACAACCTTGGTGAAATCGACCCTAAAGATGTCAGATCTGGCGAGCGAGCTGGCTATTCCACAGGACCTCGAAGGCCAATCCAACGACTGGGGAAATTGTTATCTAAGTAATTCATAAGTTGTCTGGAGTAGTGGGTGGAGCACCATCTTGCTGGAATACAATATCAGTATCGAATTCATTAGGATTCGCTTCGACGATTCCTGTGGCCAGAGGGTCAACAGTATTTTCCAGCATATCCAAATACAGTTCCCGGTTAAAGTTTTTTCGATGAATATAGGTCCCACAATATGATTTCCCAATATCCCAGCCCAAACGTTAATTTTTTGTGAATATTGAGTATCCCGGAAGACATGAGGATTGGTGTCACTCCAATAACGACAATTTTGTCTATGCACATTACCGTTGAGAAAAAATATAATTCATCACTAAAACAAATATTTTGGATATAGGTAGGATGCCGTACAATGGTTTCCGTCATAGTCTCGCAGAATTCTGTTCTTCGATCAGGGTCATCTTCAGTTAGCTGATGTACAGTTCTATTCATAAAAAAAGCGTACACGAATTAGAATGAGAGGAAACCTTAACCTTATTTGCGTAAAACCGGCTTGTCTAAATGATTGTTTATTGGAGGTTATCACACGTCGTAAATTGTCAAAAATGCAAAGCATTGACGTCGGTGTAATTCATTTCGAAAATGCGTGGTGGTAACGTTTGATAAACTTTGACAGAAGAAAATAAAAATGCCTCGTCAGTTGTCTGAAGTTGAAAAGACTCAAATTGTATCAAGAATCGAAGAAGGATGGTCAATCCGTGCAGTAGCGCAGTTGTATAATAGAAATAAATAAACCATATTGAAAATTAAGCAACGCTGGGAACAGGAAGATTCCCTAAAGAGGAAAATTGGTTCAGGTCGTCCCAAACTTACCAACCCTGAACAGGATGCTGCTTTTTTGGGATATTTAAGAAATAATCCATTTGCAAATGTAAGGGATGCTGTTATTGATACAGCATTTCCTGCCTCCCAACCTACCGCCAGCAGGAGAGTAATGAAATCTGAACTAAAATGTCACCCTGCTGCGAAAAAAATGTTTCTTAACGAAGAACGGCGACAATCAAGGATTATTTTTGCTTTAAATTATATATACCGCAATCCTCAATTTTGGAACAGGGTCATTTTTACTGATGAAAAGACGTTCCAGTCGACTTATAACGGCCAAATTCGTGTTTACCGTCCAAACAATACCAGGTTTGAAGAGCGATATACTAACCCCCTCAATTCTAGACCTGGGCGTTTCTCTGTAAATGTATGGGGCTGGATAAGTGTTCATGGACCTGGTGTTTGCTGGCGAATAGAGGGAAGATTTAATGCCGGAAATTACATTAACATTTTAGAAAACATATTGTTACCAAGTGCTGAGCAAATATATCCAAATAATACGTTCATATTTCAACAAGATAATTGTCCAGTTCATACGGCCAATGCTGTAACCCACTGGTTTCAAACCCATAATGTGGAAGTGCTGCCTTGGGTCGCTTATAGTCCCGATATCAATCCAATCGAAAATATTTGGGGTATAATCGTAAAAAAAATATATAATCGAAATTTTAGGCCACAAAATTCAGAAGATTTATGGGAAATAATACATGCGTGCTGGGAAGAGCTTGATCCAAATATTGTATCAAATATAATTCAGTCAATTCCGAATAGACTGGCTCAAGTAATAGAAAAACAGGGATATATGACCAAATAATAGATTTTATTTATTCTTGTTAATCGTTTTTTGTTTCTATTGTAATTTTTATAAAACTGTTAAGATGTAAAATAAAGAAATACATTTTTGTTACTGTATTGAACTAATGCCCGACGCCCATGCTTTGCATTTTTAATAACCTTTAACATGCGATAAGCCGGTTTTACGCAAATAAGGTTAAGGTTTCCTCTCATTCTAATTCGTGTACGCTTTTTTTATGAATAGAACTGTACCATTTGAATTTTGTTTGGGTGATACTTATTCTTTTTCAAAAGGCTCCATACAGTAGAACGACAAACCTCACATACATTCGCGATGGAGGAAGTAGACTGTTGGGGATTTACTATGATCTCACCAATTATGTGAACTTGCTTTTCTTCTGGGATGGTCGGATGACCTGGGGGCTTTTTGTTGTTTAAACTACCATACCAGTAGCTGTAAATTTAGATACAAATTCCCTTAAATATTTTCTACAGATAGGAGGATTCGGGAAACGATCATTAAAAATCTTTTCGGCCTCGTAAAAGTTACGCGTCGCACCATAAATTCGATTTTTTCTTCCAATGGACGAGAATTGACCATTTTAAATATAGTTCAAACAGTATCCTAGCACTAAAACCGAAAACTAAATAAGAATATTTTAACTGTACAATGATGTTTGTTTTCGTACTGATATTCTTGTCACTGTCAACAAAAAATAACAAAACAAGTTTGTATCGCTGTTGCTGTGGATACGGCAGGGAATTACAATTATTTGTAGAGATACACATATGCATGTTAGTGGCTTTGTGTTCAAGTAATTATTAAATGTATCACCATTTTGTAGTAGGTACAGGTATTGACTTTATATTCTAGAGTTACAAAGTACTCGTCAGGAGCTTCAAAATGAAATGCCATAAGACACCCGTTTTCATATAATTTTTTTCCAAGATGGCGCCCAGCGGCCATCTTGACATTTTCATTTGTCAATTTTACTTACTAAATATGGTATCCACGCATCAATTTCATTAACCCAAGTTTTAATTTTTTGAATTGATCCGTTCAAAAAATCAAAGGGGAGGGGGACATTAAAGAAAAGCTCTGTATATTATGTATAAGAGGGGACCAAGTATGGAACCCTGTGAAACACCAGTATGGTAGAAGTCTTGTTAAAGAAACTGCTGACTTGCAGAGATATTTCTTATACACCTTCGAGAAGGGACTAAGAAGGGAGATCGGCCTAAAATTAGATATATCGAACTTATCACTAGACTTAAACAAGGGTCTAATTTTGGCAAATTAAAGTTTATCGGGAAAACTTCCTACTTCAATAGAACAGAACAAAAATTAAAAAAAAAACTAGACGATGACTAACGAGGTTTGATGACATTTTTAGCATATTAGTATTGATTCTGCGCTGATGGAGTTTGAGCTTTTAGGATTATTTTATAGCCAAAATTTCATTTTTTTCAGCATGTTTGAGATAAAATAAATAAGTGTTCCTATCTATATTGGTATTAGTATTTAGACTTAGTTGT